GCGGGGTCCGGGGGCCGCGCGGTGGGTGTGGGGGGCGCCGGGCTCACCTACCTCTCGTCAGCGCCGCCATTGCCGGTCACATGACTGAGGCTGTTGCTGGGATGACGGTCCGGGCCTTAGCAACAAGGGGGGGGAGACCCCGAGAAGGTGGGGGTGCAGGGGTGCAGACTGAGAGAAAGGGAAGGAGGGAGGGCGGCACCCCCTTCCCCCTCGCAGGTGATGATGATCACCGTTTCCGTTGACCCCCCCTCTACCGTGAGCCCCTGCCCTTCCGCCCCAAAACAAAAATGGAGGCGCCGTCCCAGCCTTTGGAGGGAGGGGGTGGCGTCATGGAACTGAGGGTAGGAGGTTAAATCCCGGGAGACGCCACCCTTCCCGCCTCCCCCTCCCGGAGGAGCCCTCTCCCTTCTTCCCCAGCCAGCTGCGTGGCAGCTTGGGGAGCTGGTGGTGGATGGGTGGGCGAGGCTGTCGGTGGGTACACGGGGGCTGGGGGGGCGGCAGTTTGTTTAAATCCTTATGGTGGTAGGGCCTTTGAGGAACAATGTGGGATGGGAAGAGTCATAGTAAGAAGAAAAGCATTGGCTCTAAAAAATAAACAAAACCCGGTACTATTTCAATCCCCTCCCTCATCTCTTGCCTCCTTCTGGATTGTTACCTCCTGTGACCCCTGCAGCCTGCCCTCCGATGGGTGTGGTGAGGGCCTCTGACTTTTGTCTTTCCACAAATAGGGATGTCGAGGCTGGTGCAGAATGGGAAGGGAACACATTTTTAAAAAATGACTTGGGGTGGTGGTAGTGTCCTGTGTATGGTTCAAATAAGAGTTAAAAACTCTCAAAGAGGAAAAAAAAGCTGTGCTCTGCTTCCCACATCAGAGCAGTCTCCGCCCCCAGTCCAGCTCACTTCCCTGGGGCCACATCGAGCCAGGTTTTCCACCAGCCAAAGGACTTCCTCAGCCAAGACTTCGACTCTCCCAGACTGGCAACCGCCCCTGTTCACCCACCCCTCTTCTCACTTCCCCTCTGGACTGGAGGGCTGGTCACTTTCTTCCTGACTTTCCCAGGACCCTGCTGTATTCTCCCTCCCCACCAGCCAGGGACAGCTTTCCCAGAAAGCTTCAGGAACACTCTCTTAGCTGGTGGGCTGGGAGGCCCACACACCTTCCAGAGAGGAATGTGATCCAGCCCGGAGGCCTGGAGGAAGGAGAAGGGGAAAGGTCCCAGCATTCCACTCTTCCGTGCCTTATTACTGCTGAGCTCCTGCAAAGCTGAAGAGTACACTTGCCATTCCCATGCACATTTGTCACGACCTTTTCAACTCAGGGTCATCTGTCCAGAAACTAGGGGCCCCACACTTTGAATACTAGAATTCTTCAGTGGGTCTCTGCACTCCTCAAAAAAGTGAAAAGGAAAAAATAAGGCATTTCTGTGAAGGGATTTGGATCGAATAATTTATTTTCTGTATTGTGATAGTAATGGGAATAAATATACAAGATCTTTATTAATTAATAGAACAAAAGAAGGTGAAAAACAAAAGCATCAAATGAAGACCACACTGCTCATGATCCATCAGCCATGTACTGAGAAAACTCATTTCTAAAGAACAACAGTTGCTGGTGTCACAGAGTTTTATTGCATTCAACAGGGGGAAAGGGAGGTGGTTGTGATGAAAGAGATCCTTCAGTCCCCTGGCAGGAAGGTATTACAGGGGCTCCAACCCCTGCCTGGGGACCCCTCTCACTACCTCGTTTGGAGAAGATGAAAGGGAGAAAGGGCTTCTCCCTTAAGTGAGACTGATCAGTCTAGCCAGATAGACAGCACAGCAGCTTTGCAGTCCCACAGGCTGGTTGCTGGTGCTCATCTTCATGTTTAAAAAAGTCTGGAAGCCTCAGAGAATAGCAAGAAGAATGGGTATCCTGGACCCACGGCATTCGGGGGAGGGATAATGATCAATCTCATCTCCTCAAGGTCCTCCACACTGTGAAAAGATCGCGCATTAACACCACTATCTTTGGAGAGGCCGGGGTGATTGAATTATGGCTCTGACTCCTCTCTGGGGGTGGAGAGTGAAGATGACAAAGAAAGCCATCTGTCCCCCTGGAGACACAGTAGCAGTACAAGACAGGACAGGAGAGAACAGGATGGTAACAATTCCAATTGGAGAAAGGGCCTGAGGAGGGGTGGAGGAGGGCAGTGTGCCAGGTGCACACATCCGGGGAAGCCCCACACTTGAGGCCTCCATCCTCTTGCACTGATCAGAACTGACCCAGGTAGAGATAATAGAAATGTTCCCTTCTGCCAGGAACGAACCTCAGGGCAGCCAGACAGGAAGAAAGGGACTTAGCCTTGGGAAATGACCCCAACACCCCTGGCCCATCATCCCAGCCTCCAGAACTCCACACACCCCCCCATGAACCTCAACCCCGGCAGGTTCTGGCGAAGAGCAGCAAGGGTCAGACACCTTCACCCAGGCTTGGACACTTGGGCCATCTCTGGGCTCCTGGGCCCAGAACAGGTGGGTGGAGAGGGAAGTGAGGTGAAGGAAGAGACCAGTCAGTCCCTGACAGAGACCCTCTCCCATTCCCTGCACCATCACAGGAGTTCTCTCAAGTCCCACTCCTGGGAGGTGCTGGCCATTCTCTACCCCACCTCTTGTGTAAAACTGACATAGTCCATCTTGCGTGTGCACACCTGCACCCACATCTGCAGCATCTTGACTGTCCTCCATCCTAAGGACTACCAGGAGGGAAGTGCACCATAGTGAGTTCTATAAAGTTATCAGCAAAATCCACACACTCAGTTCATCCCACTCAGCAAAGTGCATCCAGGGTAGTTGCTCGAGTCAGGTCCATCTGTCCAGTCAGTCCTGAAGACAGCAAACAACCCCCTTCCCCCCAGCTCCTCCTGCTTTACAGAAACAACAGGTCATTTTTCAAAGGTCAAGGCACTTGGGAGAGAGTCAACAGTAACACTCTAATGAAGCAAGCAGACTTGTTGGAGGAGGAAAGAGGGAAGAAATATGGACAGAGGGGAGAAGGGACAGTGTATTTCTCAGGGTCAGATGGAGTTATTTGGATGGAAGGAGCCTGTGGCCTGAATTTATCCAAGGAGGAAGAGAAGTTGTGGTCAGAATGCCCACAATACCCCCAAATCTCTCAGAATTCTGCCACTTTGAACATCAGGGAGTCAGGCAGTCTCTTAAGCAAAGATGTTGGTGATAAAATCCAGGAACCGCTTCGCGTACTGCTCGGGATGGACAGTAGAGATCTCTGCCCCTGCCTGGGAAAGGAAGTATGGAAGTGTGTGTCAGGCCACCCCATTACCCATCCCAGACCACACCCATCCTTTTGCTACCTACTGCTCTGGCACAAGCAGCTCTCTCTCCCCTAAAGAACAGTCCTGTCTTGAGATGCTCACCCCGTGCTTGACGGTTTTGGCTGCATGGGCTGCTTTCTTCTTGGCATCGTACTGTGTCAGGATATCAATGAGCCCCATGAAATACACCTCCTTCTGGGGGGCTCCTGGGGAGACACCAACAGCGAAGAACGGGTATAGTCCTAACTCCCTCTCTCCAGAAGCCAGTCGGTTTCATTTTGAAAGCTATCAGGCTCTCCACCCACCACCCTGGTCTCTGTCCTGCAAGGACAGTTCTCCCCAGGCTGCCCTTCAGCTATCCAGGACCTCTCACCCTCAGCACTCCGGATGGCGTAGACATCAATGAAGGACTCAAATTCTCCAGGGCCCAGGGGCCGATGGGAATGGATGTAGCCTCCAATACCCTCCGGGGAGGTGCCATAGGAGCCCACCAGAGCAGGAGGTCCGGGCAGGCTGCAGTCCCCATCCCCCTCGGACTCGTCTTCCCGCACAGGCCCGTCCTCCTCGGGCTCAGAGCCCCGACTGATGTCGTGGATGCCCAGCAGGAGGCTGTAGTCCATGATCTTCAGCTGCACTAGAAACTGAGACCCACTGACTAGTCAGACAGCACAGATCTCCCTCCTCACACCTGGAACCACCCTCACACCTCCACCCTGAACTCCTGGGGCCCTCCTAGAGAAAAGAAGTGTAAGCGTTGAGGCTGGGAGTACACTACTGCCCTTAGTGCCCAAACGTTGTGGTATCTAAGATCATCCTTTTGGCCCATTGCAGCCTCCCTCCACAGGTCACCTCAGGGGTTTCCATGTCTCCTACCCAACCCCCTCCACGCAGAGAACACAAAGAATAACAAAGGGGAGGTGCGTCCTCACACTGTGAATGAGAGAGACAACTACCCATGGAAGAGCAAAAAAAGACCAAGGCAGTCATTTCGGGGCATCCCGTCCTCACCTCCACATCTCTCTTGAGCTTCTCTAGAAACACTTTCTTCTCCTCTTCACCAATATATACTTTCTGGTTCTTGTTGAGAAAGTCCATGTCCTTCAGGGTGGGCAATTCCTTCACCTAAGCATAGGTAGAGGGATGTCGGGAACATGTCCCTTCTGCAAGGCTCAGAGCCCTGCCTCCACCTCAGCATCCTCCAGGGGAGAGAGAGCCCACCTGTCTCCACACTGTCATGCTTCCCCAGACTCAGTCACTGCAGCTGTACCCCAAGCCACTTCCCACTACTTTCTGCTTTGGCTTTGCAGTCAGACCCTCCACGCTGACTTTTCCTTCTTCTTCTTAAGCAAAAATAAGTGCTTAAATACAAGAGCCCAGCATGGGAGGTGGAGAGCAAGTATTTGGCTCTTAAAGTCTGGCATCCGCCCCCATTCCCAAACCTTTGACGAAGCGGCCGCTCCTATGGACCTTCCAGACAAGCCCAAGGCTCTTCTCTTCGGTGGTTTAAGATAAGCATAAACAGCTGGTGATCCCTATCCCTTTATGGAGAATGGCCTCTTCATCCTAAGAGACCCCTTCATCTGCTCTCCCCATCCCTCACCCCTCACCTAAAATTAGGATCACCTTTTCCTTATCGCTGGCTTCCCGGGACACTAGGGAACCCTGCGGAGAGACCAAAGACAAGTCAGCATAAGTGGCTAAGAGAACAAGATGAGTGTTCTAATCCACAGCCTCCTTTCTGCTCAAAAGGAATCTCCCAGCGCCCTCCCAGCCCATTCTGCATCCAAGGCTGTCAGGAGCCTCCGCTACGCCCTAGCTAACCTCTCACCTTGAGGTCGTATTTCCTGTGCACGGGCAGACGGTGGCTGAACATATTGCGCATCACAAGCATGTAGCTGTCTTCGTTGTCCACGCTGACTCGGTACATCCCCAGGAACTGGGGCAGAAGTGTGTTGCCATGGCACTTCACGATGTACTGTGGTGGATGGAGGGAAGGAAAGGGGAGAGGCTGATGAGCAGATACACAGCCAGCCCCGGCCCGGGATGGGAATTCAGACAGTACCCCCACAGGGCAGGCGAAGTAGCCCCTAGGTCAGAAGGGATGGGAGCATCCCAAAAGGTGCTCTGGCTATCCACGCGGCTTCTGAGTCCTCATCTCCTCCAAGTTCCTCCACTCCATTTGTACAACGGCTCTTAATTTTAAAGTGCCTTCTCTCGCTTCACCTTTATCATTCTTTGAGATGAGGAACAGAGGTGCTATCAGCCTGATTTGTCTCTATGCAAGTGACCACGGAAACAGGATTAAATGTAATCTTCTTATCAATTATATGATTCTATCTAGATCAGTGTTTCCTAGTGGGTTAGAGGCCTATAGTAAAGCATATCTGCTGTGTTGTTCTGTCATTGTGATATACAAATTTTTATACCACAAAAAAGAAAGTCTGCATTATGGACTATAATACGGATTTTTAAGCTGGGCTTGGTGGCTCGGCCTGTAATCTCACGCTTTGGGAGGCTGAGGTGAGTGGATTGCCTGAGCCCGTGGGTTCGAGACCCACCGGGGCAACTTGGTGAGACCTCATCTCTACAATAAATCAAAAAATTAGCCAGGCATGGTAGCACGCGCCTGTAGTTCCAGCTATTTGGAAGGCTGAGGCAGAAGGATCGCCGGAGCCCAGCAGGTCGAAACTGCAGTGGCCAGGAGCAGCCACTGCACTCCAGTCTGGGTGACAGAGTGAGACTCCAACTCAAAAAAAAAAAGAAAAAAAAATGGATTCTTAAAAAAAAAAGGAAGTTGCGGCTGGGCTTGGTGGCTCAGCCTGTAATCCCAGCATTGTGGGAGGCCGAGGCGAGTGGATTGCCTGAGCCCGCGGGTTTGAGACCCACCTGGGCAACTTGTTGAGACCTCATCTCTACAATACATCAAAAATTAGCCAGGTGTGGTAGCGCATGCCTGTAGGTCCAGCTACTTGGAAGGCTGAGGCGGAAGGATCACTAGAGCCCAGCAGGTAGAGGCCATGGTGGCCGGGAGCGTGCCACTGCACTCCAGTCTGGGTGACAGAGTGAGACTCTAACTCAAAAAAAAAAAAAAGTCTTCTGAGCTGAGCTCACACTGTAATCTCAGCTACTTGGGAGGCTTAGTGGGAGGACTGCTTGAGCCTAGGAGTTTGTGACCAGCCCAGGCAACATAGTGAGATGCTATCTCTAAAAAAAAAAAATAAAAATCTTTTTCCTTTCTAGTTTTTTTTTTTAACAGAGACAAGGTCTTGCTATGTTACTCAGGTTTGTCTTGAACTCCTGGAATCCAAGTGATCCTCCAGCCTCAGCCTCCCAAAGTGCTGAGAATACTGGCATGAGCTGCCAGAGAAGAGCATCCAACTCACCTGGGGGAGGAAGTACACTTGGGAGGCTTCAAGAGGGTTTTTCAAAGGAGATATCATAGGAGTTGGTTCTTGAAGGACTATTGCATTAACTACTGGACAATGTGGAAGAGAGTATTATAGGCCAAAATCCTACTTTCAGTGCTTACTATCTCTCCCTTTCGGTGCTGCTGCCTCCTTCTCTTCATGGCAAACCTTCTCAGAAAAGTAATCAGAAATCAATCCATTTCCTATCTGTTATTCACACCTCAGACCACCGAAACCACGCTTACACCCTCTGAAATCTCCTCACAATTCCTCAGGTACCAAATCCACTAAGTATTCTAGGCACTGTCATATTTTTTCTTTTTTCCGAGTTGGAGTCTTACTCTGTCGCCCAGGCTGGACTGCAGTGGTATGCTCACAGCTACCGCAGTCTTGACCTGTCAGGCTCAGGTGATCCTTCCACCCCAGCCTTCCAAGTAGCTGGAACTACAGGCACGCGCCACCATGCCTGGCTCCACTGTCATATTTCAACTGTGTGGTACTTGATCTGTTGACCAGTCTCTCCTTATTAGACTCTGCATCCTCAGCTCCCATCACGCCACCCTTCCGGCTCTCCTTGTCTGTGGAACTCGTTATGGAACACAGCAGGGTAGACCCAATCAAAAGTGCCCCTTGCTCCTCATCTCCTTCATGGGCTCTTTTCTTCACTTGTTACTTAAGGCTCTGCCCTCAGGCTTCTCTTCTTTTTACTTCACACACTTCCCTCAACAGTCATATCACAGTCATGATTTTAATGTACAGCTCTCAGTCCCATATGCCCAGTCTAATCCTCTTTCCTGAATTCCACACCGCACCCAACCACCTAATTGGATGTCCTTATCTGGAAAAGCTGCAGAAACCTCAAATTCAACATGTCCAAGTCAGATCTTTCTTCCTCCAAAAAGCTGCTCCTCCTTCTGTTTCCAACTGTTGGTGAGTGGGCACCCAGTTATCCCTAACCAGGAACCTGGAGGCTGGTGCCTGAACTCCCACAATTCTCTCACAGGTCTTCCTTTCCAACCCACTGCCATCGCCCCTCCAGGCCTTCAGCATTTCTGTCCTAGACTATTAAAACTGCCTCCTGGGTCTGGGCATGATGACTCACGCCTGTAATCCCAGCACCCTGGGAGGCCGAGGTGAGAGGATTGTTGAGCCCAGGAGCTTGAGACAGGCCTGGGCAGCATAATGAGACCTTGTCTCTACCAAAAAGACAGTAAAATTGCCTTCTAACTAGTGTCTACACTTGCAGTACTCTCCTTCTCCAATGCATTCAATGTGTCCATCACTCCCCTGCAAACCAGCTTCAGGATTGAGCCGACTTCTTTGTGTGGCTTATAAGCCTCTTCACACACTGCTTCCTGACGAATGATTTCTCATAATACCACAACCCAGCCAAACGGAACTTCTAGCAGCTTCCTAACATGAAGCTCCCTCATGTTTCTGTGCCTTTCCAAGTGCTGTTTTCCTTGACCTATAACACTCTCTTCCACCTTGTCCAGTGGTTAATACCAACAGTTCTTCGAGAACCAACTCCTATGATATCACCACTAAAAAAAACGCCCCTAAAGCCTCCCAAGTGCACTTCCTCCTCCAGGTGAGTTAGGACGTTCTTCTCTGCACCCTCAGAACATCCTGTGCATACCTCTACTGTTATACATATCTTGCTGTGTGCTGACACTGGTGTACTGGTCTCTGCCATTAGATCAAGAGCTCCTCAAGAGCTACCAATGTTTCACTCACCTCTTTCTCAATTGCCTGACACGGGGCCTAGTAATAAGAGACAATCAGCATTTGCTGCATAAACCACAGACTCTTTTTTTCTTTTTCTTTTTTTTTGAGTTGGAGTCTCACTCTGTCGCCCAGACTGGAGTGCAGTGGCCGCTCCCGGCCACCACAGCCTCAACCTGCTGGGCTCCGGCGATCCTTCCGACTCAGCCTTCCGAGTAGTCAGAATTACAGGCATGCGCTACCACGCCCGGCTGATTTTTTGATTTATTGTAGAGATGAGGTCTCGCTGCCCAGGCAGGTCTCGAACCCGCGGGCTCAGGCAATCCACTCACCTCAGCCTCCCAAAGGCGCAAGATTACAGGCTGAGCCACCGAGCCCGGCTACCACAGACGCTTTTTAGAGTATTTCATGGACTCCTGCTCCTTGGTTTTGGTGAAATGATTCTTCCGTAGGAAGACATTCAGGAAGAGTGTCTTTATCACCAAAACTTTCCATAAACTCCACATTCCAAGTCAAGCTGAGCAGACGGAATCGCTTCCCCAGTCCCGCTCAGGGCTGGATATGACTGTGAATTCTCCCCTCCAAATTATCCCAACTGTGTATTTATCCGGGTTTTCTCCCCAAACTGCATTTATTCCTGATAACAGCATATTTGCTGTGAACACTTCGCCTGACTTAATCTATAGTTTACATTTTGCTACTTATGTGCCCTTACATAGCAATCTACAGTGGTTTTCAATGGTAAGTATCAAACGGGAAGGAACTCATCTAAATTCTTCGAAGTCGAACACAAATAGGTATACAAAGACCCTTTTTTTGAAATTCCTAGTTTTCAAAAACATGATGTCCAAATACTTTTCGGGCAGAAAAGTGGCTTGACAGGAGAAAGAGAGATAGGAAGTCCCCTCTGTGCTCTGGCAGCGGAGCACTGAACAAGCAGGAGAGGGAAAGAACAGGCTGACGAGGTCTGACCTGGTGGTAGTTGGAGAGGTTGGTGTGCATGTCAGCAATGTCCTCACTCGACACTTCTTTAATGACCAGAGTCCGATCGTAGGAGATAAGGAAGCGACCATCACTGCCTTCACTTTCACTTGGGGGGTTTCGGGTAAGGGACACCTGAGGACACAGAATAGGCCAGAGGCTCTTTCCCCCTCTTTACAGAGGTAGAAGTCATAGGATAATGGTCAACTGAACACTTCTGAAAGTGGAGGAAACCCTGGGGTAGGAGACAGAGCAGGGCTTCCAGATCAGGTGTCCATATATGGACTCAATGAAACTGAATGCAAAATTTTCACTGTATCTACATCCCCACCTCCCACCCAAGAGTAAGGTTTAGAATTTTTATTACATTTTTGAAAATGCTTGTGACCACAAGCCAAGGTCCTCATTTCTCCAAATATGACTATCCCAACGACTCCCTGCCAAATATGACTATCCCAAGGACTCCCTGTTGCTGGGGAGAAAGGACTATCCCCACCCTTTAATGGACTCTCACCAAGTAATCCTGGTCATCAATGCCAAAACGATCACGGAGGTTCCTGAAGACCTGGGGACAATACTCCTTGAACTTGAAATGACTGGGTAGATTTTCCCTGAAATTCAGGTTTTCAAGGGAAGAAAACAAACACTATCACCTTATATTAACATAATGCTTGATGGTTTATAACGTAGCTTCACACACAGTACCTCATTTGATTCTCATAAAACCCTATGAGGTCCTTTAAAGTATATTTACTCAGGCAGGCGCGATGGTTCACGTCTATAATCTCAGCACTTTGGGAGGCAGAGGCGAGAGGACTGCCTGAGCCCAGGGGTTCGAGACCAGCCTGGACAAATTGGCAAGACCTCCTCTCTACAATAAACCAAAAAATTAGCTTGGTGTGGTGACACGTACCTATAGTTCCAGCTACTTGGAAGGCTGAGGCAGAAGGATCGCCTGAGCCCAGCAGGTCGAGGTTGTGGTGGCCATGAGCATGCCACTGCACTCCAGCCTAGGCAAAGGAGTGAAGTTCTGACTCAAAAAACAAAAAGTATATTATTCCCATTTTATAGAAGGGGAGATTGTGTTTCAGGGTGGTTGAGTAACTTGCCTAAGTCACATGGCTGGTAAATGGTGTAAGTAGGGCCAGGATCTACGCATCCAAACAGCAGCATTTCCCAAATCTCAAGCAAGTCAGAGACAACCTAAAGTCAACAATAGGTACTGCCATTTTGAACGCCTTTTTCTGACACCAAAGAGGGCTTACAGGACTCAAGTTTTTCTTTCAGGGAGTCTCTATCAGAAGCTAATGGCAGTGGCATCTGAACTATCTACTATTCCACATCTACTCAGTGGAATTGCCGGGCTAGAGGAGAGATTATACTGGATATATGTGTGTAGGGGAACATTGGAAGTTATTTTAATGGTTTCTCTACACAAAACTAATCTCTTCATTGGGAAGGGTGTTAGACCACACAACTCATAAATGGTCTTCTAAATCTAAAATCGGCCGGGCTCGGTGGCTCAGCCTGTAATCCCAGCACTTTGGGAGGCCAAGGTGAGTGGATTGCTTGAGCCTGCAGGTTCGAGACCCGCCTAGGCAACTTGGCAAGACCTCATCTCTACAAAAAATCAAAAATTAGCCAGGCATGGTAGCGTGCACTTATAATTCTGGCTACTCGGAAGGCTGAGGCGGAAGGATCGCCAGAGCCCAGTGGGTTGAGGCTGCGGTGGCCAGGAGCAGCCACTGCACTCCAGTCTGGGTGACAGAGTGAGACTCCAACTCAAAAAAAAAAAAAAAAAAAAATCTAAAATCTAGCTGGGCATGGTGGCATACACCTGCAATCCCAGCTGCTCCGGCCTGGGTGACAGTGTGAGACCTCAACTCAAAAAAAAAAAAACCAATCTAAAACCTTCAACTCATTAAAACTTTTAAAATTATGTATTACTCTTCTCTAGGAAGGTTGACATGAGAAGGGCAAAGATCCCCACTTACCTGTGGAAGAGGTGATTGTTGACCTTGATTTTAGAGTTGGCCTTAAAGTCATCTGGCAGCAGCATCACAGGGGGAGGCACCTGGCTGAGCTCATTGATCTGATAAGAAAAACATGAATAGGGAGCCCATGAGGAAGGATGTGGAGAGCCACCCGTACATTGTGTCTGGGCAAGAGTCAGGTAAGTGCATCTCAGGCTTCACACCTTTACAAACACTGGCTACGCACACGCTTGACAGAGGTGAGCCATTGTGTCTGACCCCTTCTGTTGCCCAAGGACTGCAGTAAGCTGCCCTCACACACAGCCCCTCACACTCCCGCCCCTGCAACTTCATGCTCACAACAGTCATTTTTTTATTAGGCTGGCCCTGTAAGCAACTCAGGACTATTTTTAAAGCTGTGAGAAAGTCTAGGGGAAAAAAAAAACTCTTTGCAGACTCAAGACAAACAGCAACATGCTCCATTAGGGAAAACAAAAAAGCAGGGGAGGCTTCTTTTTTTTGAGTCAGGGTCATACTCTGACGCCCAGGCTGGAGTGCAGTGGCACAATCATGGTTCCCCACAGCCTCAACTTTCTGGACTCAGGCAATCCTTCTGCCTCAGTCCCCCATGTAGCTGGGACTACGAGGCATGAGCCACAGTGCCTAGCTAATTTTTTTTTTTTTTTTTGTAGAGATGAAGTCTCACTATGCTGCCCAGGTTGGTCTTGAACTCCTGGGCTCAAGCAATCCTCCCATGTTGACCTCCCAAAGTGTTGGGATTACAGGTGTAAGCCACCATGCCTAGCCTTAAAAAGGGGGGGAGGGGTGCATTTTAAAGATGTACAAAGAGCTGGGCACAGTGGCTCACACCTGTAATCCCAGTACTTTGAGAGGCAGAAGCGAGAGGATTGCCTGAGTCCAGGGGTTTGAGACCAGCCTAGGTAACTTGGCAAGACCTTGTCTCTAAAAAATTAGCTGGGCATGGTAGCGTGTGCCTGCAGTTCCAGCTACTTGGAAGGCTGAGGCGGAAGGGTCACCTGAGTCCAGTGGGTTGAGGCTGTGGTGGCCGTGACCGTGCCACTGCTCTCCAGTTTAGGCGACAGAGACTCCTACTCTTAAAAAAAAAAAAAAAAAAGGAGGAGCCAGGCTCGGTGGCTCAGCCTGTAATCCCATGTTTTGGGAGGCTGAGATGAGTGGACTGCTTGAGCCCGCGGGTTCAAGACCCCCCTGGGCATCTTGACAAGACCTCATCTCTATAATAAATCAAAAAATTAGCTGGGTGTGGTAGCACGTGCCTGTAGTTCCAGCTACTTGGAAGGCTGAGGCGGAAAGATCGCCGGAGCCCAGCAGGTCAAGGCTGCGGTGGCCGGGAGCGGCCACTGCACTCCAGTCAGGGCAACAGAGTGAGACTCCAACTCAAAAAAAAAAAAGAGTTAACAGGACTCTGCACAAAAGAGTTAATAGGACTCTGACAGGTCAACAGTGGCAAGAAGAATGAAATGGCCATATCCTGCAAAAGGCATCTCCTTCCAAATGGGACCAGTCCTTCCAGACCACTCTGACCCAGTTCTCTGCAGCAGGTCCCACCTGCCTAGGTGTAAGGTAAAGGAAGAGCAGCTGATTTCAGAGGGAATGCAGGCAGTCAGAGGTGAGAGCTCATTAGGTTCCCCAAAGCCAAACCAACCCACAGCCCGAAGGACACAAGCATCACATGCTCTCCTGAGCGCCCGGGATCTGCAGTCTGCTCATTGAGGGTGGAAAAGGAGACTTGGTACTAAGAGCCTGAGATGCGTGTTTTCTCCTTGGGGTTGCTACCGAACCTCTCACCTGCCTTTGTTTGTGCAGGTATCACATGACTCCACCAGTTCACAAACGTTCCCCACCTACATTGTGAGCTCAAGAGCAAGGGCCTGATCTAGTCCTCTCCATCTTTTACATGCCTCACTAGCACAATGTTTGGTACACAGTGATCCTGAAGTGTTTATTAGCTAAATAAATGAACGCCTTGCCCATCCTTACTTGATCACTCGACAGAGGTGATGAACTGCAGTCTAACCTAAATCCCACACACTGCAGTACAACAAATTCTTCTGGCTCTCAGTAGAAAAGGAGGACAGAACATTCCTCCAGGAAAAAAAAAAAGCCACTTGAGAGTCCCAGCCTAAAATTCAGCTACAGCAGTTCCTGCCCCCTCCTTGCCACCTGCTAATCAGGCTGAATCATCACTAAGACATATGTTCAAGGAGTCTCTCCATTCCAGACACTTGAAGTAGACCTGTGATGGCTGAGGGTGGGGTGTTGGAGCTAACGTATATATACCTAGGGAAGCTGAGGCAGGTCTTACATGTAATTCCCCCAATCCTTACCAAGGGAAAATCCTCCCTAAGCTTCCCACGGGGATGGGGGAGCCGCCTAGAAGGGACATATGAGAGGCAGCCCCACCTCCATCGGCCTTCCCCATGCCAAGTGCCTTAGACCAGACTCTCACTAATCAGACAAGGCCACCCGGAGAGCCACAAATGCAAAAGGAAGTGACTGACTCCAAACGACACCCTTCTACCCCATAACCCCGCCATGATTTCTAAAATACTCCCTGCCTCACTCACAATCCCCGCATCCCTCCCACTCCAGCTCTCAGGGAAGAGAGGCAGTGACTGTGCTTTCTTCACCAGAAGTGCTCTCAGGAAAGGAGGTGGTCTCCTTAGCTTTCTCCCCAACCCAGGCCATATCCTCTAGAGCAGTTTCCTCCTTCTCAAGTTCCCCACCATAGCGCCCCCAGGACCAGAGCTCTACAACCTTCCCTTTGGTCAAAGATGACTCCCACTTACACTAAACACCAAGCCTCCAGCCAGCAACGGGGATGCAGTTAAAACCAAAGGCATACGTATACACAGGTCCTGAGTGAGCTCAACCCCTAGCTCAGGGTGGGGTAGCTTCTCTGAAATGCTGTACCTCCGGAAGGGAAAGGAAGGGGCAAGCAGGATTAGAAGGTCCAGGAAGCCTGGAGCTTCCCCCAGACAAAGTCAAGGTTCCAAAGCCAAGGACCGGGGCTGGAAAGCAAGGTGGAAAGGAAAGTGAACGATCCCCTCCATCCAGCT